ACAGTAAATTTCCATCGTTCAATCTCTGAAGTCAAGGCCAAGGAGCTGTACCAAATATTTCAGAGTTTCTCTAGGCCAGGAATATGCACGAAATTTTACCTATATAATCAGAAGCACAGGAAGGTGTTATATGCACCTGAGTACTATAGCATACCAGTTTCTCACTGTAGGTACTTCTTTATGGTTTATGATTTTTTGTTATTAACGGTACTGTATGAGAGCATCAAAATGTTAGAAGATCTTAAAGGAAAATGTTGAGGTCCATTATATTTTGTATTTTGTTTATGGAAGTTGAAGCCATTTTTTTAACAAGCTGGAAGTGTTAAGAAGTTAAGAACCAAATATAGGCATGTTAAACATCAGCGATTGTATGACCCTGGTTGCTTTCCGCTGCCATTTTACCTTCGTAAACAAGCTAATGATATTTAGAACACGGATAATATCTCTATAACCCCCTTTATTTTACTTCCTTAAAAAACGCAGGATATAGGGAACTATCAATACATGATGGAAAAAATGACAGTGCTCCTTGACATTACATTTTTGCGCCTGATGGTAATGGCAAATGGACATGCCTTTGAGGCCGGCGTATTCCATGTTCTCAGATTGTCTACTGGTATAAGAAGGTTGATGCTGCAGTCAGTTGCTACTGGCTCAGAGGTAAAATTTCTTTGTTTGCCTAATACTCTCTCGAGACACAGAAAAAAGGCAGCGTTTTGGTTCCTAAAAGGCATTTTTGACAATTAATTTCTGTTATATAGTATATAATGAATGCCAAATTAAATTAAAGCATTATGAAACTATTTTTCAAGGTAGATCGATGCATGCTGTTTTTATGAAAAAAAAACATGTGTTTGTATTTAGGTCCTATTTGGATCCAAAGAGATAGTAGTTAGCTGCTAATAATTAGCTCCTTGGATCTAAACAGATCTAGCTAATAGTTTAGCTAATTGTTAACTGAGTATCCAACTAACAACTATTTTATTAGTTGGAGCAAACTAACTAATAGTAGCTAATATTAGTTGTGATCTATTTGCTAGCTAACTATTAGCAGCTAATTGATCCAAACAAACCCTTAGTTGGACATGGAACACAACTTGTTTTCTTACTGGAGTGAGTATTGAAGTTCCCAGGGAAGTAATGGGAAGAAACCTGCATTTTTTTTGGCGAATATATGGTTTATTTTATATCCTAATGAGCACTTTAATCTGTAGATTTAACTGTTGTTGGTATACTATTTGGGCTGTAAGTCGTAGCTCTCTTTCCTCGTTATTGTTAGCCTGTTTGAAATATATGGTTGTGGAGCTGTGGTGAGTCGTTGGATGGCACTAATGCAGATCAACCTTGGTAATGTATATAACAGTTAGAAAATAATACGGCAGTGGACAGAAAGTTGAAGGTGTAATTGGCCTAAGTATTTTTATTTTTTTAAGAAGGTTATGGGTCCATTCAGAACCTATGCACTAAGATTGATTCAAAATCTCCTTAATTTTCTGCAATTAATAGCATGTTGCTGTTACATGGAATTTTTTGTGATTTTATTAGAAAATTATATTGCTGCAACTACATACTAGGCTGAATTATATTTTAGTTGTTGATGTCAACACATTGGCACACTTCAAAAATGTTCAGGAATCTGACAATTTACTCTCCCCCCTCTCACTCTCACTCTCTCCTTTTTGTCATTCAATCATCAATCGATTATATTAAGTTGATACTTGTGTCAAGCCCAAGCTGTATGCCCATCCGATTGCATATGCGTTCAGCCAGTGGACTGGGAAACTGAATCATCTTGAAGAAGTAGAAATCAGTGGATGGAAAGGAACTCAACATGAAGTTTCTATGTGAAACGACTTTTCGATTGGGGGACAAAGCTTAAAGAGATGACATTAAATTTTGATCGTAAAGTCAAGGCCAAGGAGCTATACCAAATATTTCACAGTTTCTCTGGGCCAGGAGTATGCATGAAATTTTACCTATGTCAGAAGTTATATGAACCTAAGGACTAGCACACCAGGTTGTCACCTTAGACACTTTTTTATGGTTTATTTATGTTTTCTTGTTAAAAACCGTACTATACAAGAGCATCAAAATGCTAGCAGATCTTAAAAAGCAATGTTGAGATCTAGTATATTTTTTATTGTGTTTATGAAAGTTGAAGCCTTGTTTTTCTTTTCTGAACAAGATGGAAGTCCCCAAATATAGGCACGCCCTTCTTGCTAGCCGCTGCCATTTTACCTCAGTAAACAACCTGATGGTATTTAGGTATTTAGAAAAGGGATAAATATATCTCATTCCTATATTACTGTAAAAGTGCAAAGTTTGACATGTTCTACACACAGGCAAGCCAGTGGATGGACCTGTGACATATTGGCCAAAAAAGAATAATCAATAGGGAAAATTAGTCAGGTACCATTAAAAGATCGGATCTTTTGAAAACTATATACCATGGAAGGATTGAACTTCTGAAATATACCATGAAAAGATCCCTCCGTTGTACTAGCCTTTTAGCATTGCAGTTAACGTAACTGACGTTAACTGGAGGTAGGGCTAGCTCGGTCCAGCTCGAGCTAACTCGTTAGGCTAACGAGTTAGCTCGGCTCGGCTCGGCTCCTTAATATTACGAGCTAAAGGAACAGCTCAGCTTGGCTTGTTATCAAGCTTAAGCTGGCTCGTTTAGCTCGCGAGCTATAAAAAAAATAGGACACACATGTTTATAATGTTTATGCTACATTAATTTCAGAAAATGACGTTCACCATTATGCAACCATACATGATTAATATATATCAGGTTCATCAAAAGTATCAACAATGCAACATAGCTGGTCTATCTATGATCATGCTCCAGCGTACTAACTAGTTGCTTGCCACCACAAACTTAGAAAAGTCCACAAATTCAATGTCAGTATCATCATCTTCTCCCTAAAAAATAATCCATAAAATCAACATTTAAGTAACACAACAATTATAAAATTAAAATTCATATGAAATAGGCCCCGTTTGGCTGGCAGAATTTTGGCTGAAACTGGTTGAAAAACACTGTTCTGGCTGAATTGTTGTGAGAGAAAAATACTCTTCCAGCTGAAAAAAGAAACCGAACAAACCGAATATGGGGTAAGCCGAACGGGACCATACCTGGAAATAAGAATTATGTACCACTAGAATAGGTATACACTTCTAGGTCAGCATCATCATCTTCTGGATTCATGGTCGTGAGCTGATAGGCCTCAGCTCGTTTCAGCTCGTGAGCAGCTTGCGAGCTGGCTCGTTAAAATAGCGAGCTGGACTTCTAACTCAACTCATGAAAAAGTTAAAACGAGCCGAGTCGAACCGAGCTGAGCCGACCACAAGTCGGACGAGTTGACGAGCCACGAGTATTTTGTTCCGCACTAGCCGGAGGAATAAAAAAATTCAGCTGGAGGAATAAAAAAATTCCAAACCCAACTCAAGGCACGGACACATCTTGATTCCTGGCCCAACCCAACGCAAGAGTGACGCACCAGCCTGCTCCCCCTGCAGCGGCGCTTCTCCCCTCCGCGAGGACGGCAGCGACGCTCCTCCCCTGGGCGACGACGACAGTGGCGGCTCCTCAGGCCTATCCTCCATAGTGCGCCCCTCCCCACCTATTTTTCGTCTCGTTCTCCATTCTTCTTGTGCTCTTCTTGGTCTAAACCCTAGGTTTTGGGGATTCGGTAGTGACAAGACAAGGGATTGGGGATTTGAGTGAAGATGGACGCTACTGAAATTCTAGAAGGGTAATCTCCTTTGACACACTCATCCTTCCAATTTTGTATCTATTTTGCTGGTATTTTTCTGTGCACATGGCTAAAATTTCCAGAGAAACCTTGCTGAAATTTCTGTTATATATATGTGTATACTTTGATGAGAGTGTTATATCCTTGGGGCTTGGGTTAGACTGCAGCAGCATCAGGTCTGAAGGGCTATTCAGTGTTTGCTGCTAGAATAAGATGTGAAGGCTACTCAAATGAATCTACAATAGAAGTTAATGTGGAGTTAACGGATGTGTTAATAGGCTACTCCGTACAACGGAGGAACCTTTTCATGGTATTTTTCTGCAGTTCAATCTTTCAATGGTATTTTTTTAAAGACTAAATCTTTTAATTGTACAGGTCCTATAAGGAATGATTTTAGAATGGGATTCAATAGAAAATGAGAAAATACGCAAACAAAATAGAAGAAACAAATATATATGGGATTTTTTTATTCCTAAGTTAGATTCATTATCTAATCGGATATATAGAATTCCCTTCTATATGAAATCTTTCAATTTTTCTAAAGACGGAATCATTTAATATACAGGGCCAATTTTCCCTTGTGAAAATGATCGACGACTTTTCAAAGCCAACGGACGAGACCTAAATCCAGAGGAGCTCCCTTTTCCTCTCCATGGAGCCCTGCGGCGGCGATGGCGAGGTCTCCACCAAGCGTGCCAAGCTCCCCACTGGCGCCGGTAGTGAGGACCGCCTTAGTGCGCTCCCTGATGACATCCTGGTACTCATCCTTCACCACCTCAACACCTGCAGCGCCCGCCCGGGACCAGCGTGCTCTCCGCCACCGGGCGCCGTGTCCGGGCGCCTCCTTCCGACGCCTCTGCTTCCCTCACGCCCCCAGATCCCCACCAGATCGGCCCCGCCCCGAGGCTCACGAGGCGGCCCTCCTGCGCCTCTTCGTCTTGACCCGGACGCGCCCCGACTCAGTGTCGGCCTGGCTCCCCGTCGCCGCTCGCCGCCTCTCCCGCACCTTCTTCTTTCACAACAATGTTGTGCAGAGAGGCGCGCCAGAAGGCGATGAGGAGGAGGCTGCACCGAGCGGCTCCTTTGAGCTCCCTCGCTTGAGCGTGCCACGGAGCTCTCTCTTCACCTAGAGATTCCTCGGCCTCACCATGCCGCTTGTCGGCGTCTTTCGCCGCTCACCAAGTTTTTCCGGTGGCGTGCGGCTCCACGGCTCGGGGTTGCTAGGCGACGCTGTTTCTCGCTGCGATGCCCATGCTTGCGAAACTCACCATCCGTGGCGCCAGGGGCTGGACAACCTCGCCATCCATTCCGATTCTCTCGTGCAAGTGGAGCTCACCAATCTGCGCTGCTTGCAAAGAACTCAACATTGTGGCGCCGGCTCTTGAGGACTTGGAAGTTACACACTGTTTCTTCTATGATCGGAGCCAACCGTTTGCCCAAGATCACAGTCACTCACCTGGCAACACTTCGTGGATGGATCCATATGATCCAAGCTCTCATCCATCTTGGCGAGATGAGACATCTTCAATACTGAGGCCTTTCTTCTTTATTGTTTATGGGGATGACAGCACTACACATAATCAATCTTGTTTATGTCTCTTGCGGCGTTTCAAGGTCATCGAACATCTTATACTCACACTGACCTATCTATGGGTAAGTCCACTTCCCCAGTTACGTGAATTTTCAGTGCGTGCATGTTTTTCCTTGCCTGTGGATGGATTTGAAAACTAAGGCATCCAAGCAAACAGTGTCCTACGGTATCAGTGCAGTTAACATAACCTTGAAAAGGAAGGTAAAATTAACATATTTAAGTGTTTGCTATTAGAACTAGAAAAAAAAATGTAGCTTCACTTCAAGGCATGCCTAGTTGGCTGTTTGTCCGACATAAATTGTGGTGATCTGGTGATATCCAACTTGTTTGGCACTAAAAAGGATTTTTGTTGATAGTTTATTCTTCATAATCACAGTTAAGTTATATTAACCACTTCCTGCATGGTAATAGGCTTATAGCAAAGGTCACCTTAATACCTTATTAGAACTACTTAAGATGAGATGCTGCTGGCTCTTTGCAATTGTCATATATGACACTTTTTTTTGTGACCTCCCACGGACACGTAGGACATGGATGACTATCACTATGTGATGGAAGATATGACAGTGCTCCCGGACATCATGATTTTGCACCTGAATATATTGGCAAACAAACATGCTTTTGGGGCCAGCGCATTTCATGTTCTCAGGATGTGTTCTGGTATAAGGAAGCTGATGCTGGCATTTCTTGCTCCTACTGTGGTGGAGGTAAGGCTCTCATTTTTTATCCAATATGCATTTGTATTTCTTGGCTTACCATGGCCTGATCTGTTAGTGCCCCTAGGCATTTGTTCTTATATTTTGTCTGAAAGTTATGGCTCATATTTCTCGTAATGTATATGCATACACTTAGCTGTGTGATTACTGATTACTCCCTAGTATGGCAGATTTTTCTGCATCTGTACCTATACCTCTTCCCTTTGGGGACATGCAATATAATTGAGTTGCATCTGTAACACTAATGAAAACACTGTATTTTATGGTTTTGACTGAGCTAATGACCTTCAGTAGCGGACAACATTGTAGCCAAATTGACTTTGTCCTCGCAAGAAGAAAGGACAAACGAGCATGCTTGGATTGCAAGGTGATACCAGGGGAGTGTATTGTTTCTCAACATAAGCTTTTGGTGGCAGATTTTTGTTTTCAGGTGCGTGCCCGTAGGGATAAACAAGCTAAGATTGAAAGAACAAAGTGGTGAAAACTGAAAGGGGAGACGTCAGAGGTATTCAGGGAAAGGGTTATCAAAGAGGGCTCTTGGAAGAAAGAAGACGACATAAACAACATGTGGGACAAGATGGCAACCAACATTCGAAAGGTGGCCTCAGAGGTGTGTGGAGTAACCAAAGGAAGTGGACGCGAGGCTAAAGATACTTGGTGGTGGAACGAGAAAGTCCAAAGGGCTATTAAGGAGAAGAAAGAATGCTATAGACGCTTGTACCAAGACAGGAGTGTGGACAACATAGAGAAGTACAAGGTGGCAAAGAAGACTGCAAAGCGAGCTGTAAGTGTGGCAAAGGGTAGAGCGTACGAGGATCTTTACCAACATTTGAGTATGAAGGAAGGAGAGAAGGACATTTATAGGATGGCTAGGGTTCGTGAGAGAAAGATACGGGACTTCAACCAAGTTAAGTGCATTAAGGATGAAAGGGAGCATCTCTTGGTAAAGAAGGATGAGATCCGACATCGATGGCAAGAGTATTTTGACAAATTGTTCAATGGTAAGAATATGGACACAACCTTTCAGTTGGATGACTCTTTTAATGACACCAATAGGCGCTTTGTGCGGAGAATCCAAGAATCTGAGGTCAGAGAGGCGTTGAAAAGGATGAAAGGAGGTAAGGCGATGGGACCGGATGGTATCCCAATCGAGGTGTGGAGATGCCTCGGGGACATAGCTATAGTATGGCTAACCAAGCTGTTCAACCATATTTTTCGATCGAACAAGATGCCTGATGAGTGGAGAAGTATATTGGTACCGATCTACAAGAATAAAGGGGATATTCAAAGTTGTACGAATTACCGGGGAATTAAGTTGATGAGCCATACTATGAAGCTATGGGAGAGAGTTATCGAGCATCGCTTGAGAGCAATAACGCAGGTCTCTATGAACCAATTTGGTTTCATGCCCGGAAGGTCAACCATGGAAGCCATTTTCTTAGTAAGACAAGTTATGGAGCGGTATAGGGAGAAGAAGAAGGACCTACACATGGTTTTTATTGACTTGGAGAAGGCTTATGATAAAATACCAAGGAATGTTATGTGGTGGGCTTTGGACAAACATAAAGTCCCAACGAAGTACGTCGGGCTCATTAAGGACATGTACAACAATGTTGTGACTAGAGTTCGAACAAGTGATGGAGACACGGATGACTTCCCGATTAGGATAGGACTACATCAAGGGTCAACTTTGAGCCCTTATTTGTTTGCTTTAGTGATGGATGAGGTCACAAGGGACATACAAGGGGACATCCCTTGGTGTATGCTTTTCGCGGACGATGTAGTGCTAGTTGATGAAAGCCGGACAGGAGTGAATCAGAAACTGGAGCTATGGCGGGAGACTTTGGAGTCCAAAGGTTTTAGACTCAGTAGAACTAAAACTGAGTATATGAGATGTGACTTCGGCACTACTACTCGGGAGGAGGAAGATGTTAGTTTGGAAGGTCAAGTAGTACCTAGGAAGGATACCTTTCGATATTTAGGATCAATGCTACAGAGGGACGGGGATATTGATGAAGATGTTAGCCATAGAATCAAAGCAGGGTGGATGAAGTGGCGGCAAGCGTCTGGTGTCCTATGTGACAAAATGGTACCACAGAAGCTAAAAGGCAAGTTTTATAGGACGGCGATTAGACCTGCTATGTTGTATGGTGCAGAATGTTGGCCAACGAAAAGACGACATGTTCAACAGCTAAGTGTCGCGGAAATGCGTACGTTGCGTTGGATTTGCGGTCATACAAGAAGGGATCGAGTTCGGAACGATGATATACGTGATAGATTAGGGGTAGCGCCAATTGAAGAAAAGCTTGTCCAACACCGGTTGAGATGATTTGGACATGTGCAACGGAGACTTCCAGAGACAACGGTGCGTAGTGGAATCCTAAGTCAGGATAGTAACGTGAAGAGAGGCAGAGGAAGACCGAAGTTGACTTGGGTAGAGGCAATAAAAGGAGACTTGAAAGAATGGAATATACCCAAAGACTTAGCCTTAGATAGGAGTGCTTGGAAGACAGCTATTCACGTGCCTGAACCTTGATTGCTTCTGATGGGTTTCAACTCTAGCCTACCCCAACTTGTTTGGGACTTAAAGGCTTTGTTGTTGTTGTTGTTGTTGTTGTTCTACTATTTATATTGCAAAATATTTGTTTTATTTGAATTATTGTCCGTCTGGCAGTGTTTCATAAAAAAACATTTATATGGCAGTGAGCAGAAAGTTAACTGAGTTGTTGCATGGGAGGCTTGATCTTGACAGTTAGGAGTTAGGAGATATCAGTAAGTGTTGGTAAATAATATACCAGTGGCAGTTTTGCAATGCCCCTAATTTGTAAAATGTTCCATGCTTCCATTGGATAACCTGAGCCCTATGGTTGAATGAGAATCTTCTTGAACATTATTGACATCATAATCATGTTTGCTATACCACTTTCTCTTAGCTCACAATAGTCATGTTGCATCTGTTGGCTTCAGAGTAATGTGCGGGACACATTCATTTGCAAATCTTATGCTGCCTTTGATTGCATAATTGGGCATTCACACCATTTTCAATTCCTGTCTGTTTATTCCGTCCAACAATATTCTTACGTTGACAAGGCAGATAAAATTAAGTACTGAAGGCATACCATATTTAAGCCTTTATTGTTAGAACGAGGAAAAAAACGTAGCTTGGCATGCCTGGTTGGCTGTTTGTCCAACACAAAATGTGAGGCTATACAATTTGCTTGAGACTAATTTTTGCTGGCTTAGAACTAGCCATGTAATTTTATTCATGCTCGCAGTTAAGTTATAATGACCACTTCCTGCATGGTAACAGCAATGGCCACCTTATTAAAACAACTTAAGATGAGATGCTGTTGTCTCTTTCCAACTGTCTTGTATGACCCTTCTTTTCTTTTCTTTTCTTTTTTTGTGACTGTCCATGGTAGATTTTTCAGCACTTTTACATATACCTCTCATCCCCCTTGGGGCTATGCAATACAATTGAGTTGCATTCTGTAACACTAACAACAACACTGTGCTCTATAGTGACTGACTATTTACATTGGAACTTGACCTTGACAATTAGGGGTTAGGAGTGGGTATTGATACATAAAAAATAGTACCAATTTTGTAAATGCCCCCAATTTGTGAAAGGTTCCATACTTCCATTGGATAACATGAGTCCTGTGGTCAATAAAGATCTCTGTGGACATTTTTTACATCATAATCATGTCCGCTATACCACTCTATCTCAGCTCAAAACAGTTATATTGCTGCAATCTGTTGGCTTCAAAGTAATATCCAGAATGAATCTTTTTGCATATTTCAGTAATAAGACAATTTTGGAATTTTCTCTCTGAATATTCCACCCAACAGTATCAGTGAATCTTACATAATGTGTTTCTTGTTCTAGGCACAAACTACATGCCCACCGGGTTGCATTTGCGGTGAGCACCAAAACTGGGAAACCGAGCACCTGTTGTTGAATCAGCTCAAAGAAGTAGAAATCACTCGGATGAGAGGATCGGAACATGAAGTCACTTTTGTGAAGCAGCTGTTCATTTGGGGGACAGCCTTAGAAAAGATGACGGTGTTTTTTGACGAATCGGTTACTGAAAACGTGGCCAAGGAGTTGTCCCAGGTGCTACGAAGCTTTGCTAGGCCAGAAATACGCATGGAAATCCACACGTACAGGGCCATGCTGAAGATGATGTATATACCCGAAGACTAAGGCACCGGGTTATCGTGTAGTTTTCCTCTTTTGTTGTGTACTGCAGTGGTTGAAATCATCAGAAACCTACAGCACGGGGGGCATGCCGATTGCCGAGGAGTGATCAGTCTTGTTTGGATCTATCAGTCCCATGACTCTGACTCTGTAATGCACATTTACAAGACTTCTGTGAAAGAATGGCCAGGTTGATTCTTTCTTCTTTCACGACAAAGCGCCTGATTGGATTGCTGCAGTAGCAAATTTTCCCGACAGTAAACATTCACTGTTCGGATTGACCTGTATTTTTATTTGCGCAAGAGACAAATAAAATCTCCTCTTTTTTTCAGTTTGTTGAATGGGCTGGAGTGAGAAAATAAGCAGGTTGTACGGTGGGCCCAAAAAAACGGAATGGGCCAGAAACATGCTCAGATATATGTCTGGCCCGCCTGGCTGTTGGTGACCACCGCCGCGCACGACGCCGCGAACTGCCGATCCCGCACCGGCCGGCGCGCCGCCATGGGGGTGGCCACGAGAGCCAAGAAGAGGCGGCTGCAAGAGGAGCGCCTCGCGGACCGTATCAGCAGCCTCCCCGACGACGTCCTCGTCGACATCGTCTCCCTTCTCCCCACCAAAGACGGCGCCCGCACGCAGGTCCTCTCCTCCCGGTGGCGCCACGTATGGCGCGCCGCACCTCTCAACCTCTCGCCAGTTGGCCGCGGCATCCCTGTTGGCGAGGTGTCCCGCATCCTCTCCGCACACCCGGGCCCCGGCCGCCGCTTCTCCATGCCGGTGTGCTACCTCAGCTACGATGACGACGAGTACTCCGAAACAACACTGGACGGCTGGCTCCGGTCACGCTCCCTCGACGACCTCCAGGAGCTCGAGTTCCAGCCCTATCCGCGACTCCTGCTGCCGCCATCAGTACACCGCTTCTCGTCGACGCTCCGCATCGCTAGCTTCGGTGGCTGCACTTTCCCGGACGCAGACCATGGCGCCGCGCTGCTGCTCTTGCCGGTTCTCGAGAGTCTAACCCTCTCCGATGTCTGCATCTCGGGGAACTCTCTGCATGCCTTGCTCGCCGGCTGCCCTGTTCTTCAGAGCGTGCTGCTACACAACATCTATGGCTCGCCTCGACTGCAAATCATGTCCCCTAGCCTCATAAGCATCGGCGTGGGTTATGGATGGAGAAATCTCGGGTTACAACAGCTCGTGATCGAGGATGCCCCGTGTCTAAAAAGATTACTGTATTCCGGAACAATGATGATGGACATCTCGGTGATCTCTGCGCCAAGATTGGCTATTTTGGGGAAACTCTATGGCAACAGTCCCAGAATTCAGTTCAGCGATACAGTTTTTGAGGTACACGCGTCGTCATTCTCACTTTCAATTCACCAGCCTTCATGATGTGCTAATTCTATCTTATTAACTCAGGGATCGGATGCTGTTAGCATGATGAATGTGGTAGACAGTGTGAAGGTTCTATCTTTATCTGGTGTGAAACTTTGTTTGGATGTGGTTATTAATTTGCTGAAGTGCTTTCCCCACTTGGAGAAGTTATACATCAAGGTGAATCCTTGAGCCAAAGTGCTGCATGCATCTGCACGTTTGATCATTTATTTAATTACTATTATGTCGATGACTATTTTAAAGCTAAGTTGATTAGTATTGACACCATTCTCTGTTCACTTCGCTTCTCAGGCAACAAGTGATTGTGTGGAAAATGTGTGGTATCAAACAAACCCGGAACTTGTAGGCAACCTTGACATCCGTCTGAGAAAAATTGTGCTGGGGAACTATCAAGGAAGCAAATCACATGTCAACTTTGTCAGGTTCTTTTTGTCAAATGCGAGCATGTTGGAATCACTGATGCTCGAGTCAGGAGTTGAAGTCACCAACGTGTGGATTGCAAGACAACATAGGCTACTCCACATAAGAAAGAGTGCTTTGAGTGGTGCACGGGTTGCTTTTGTATCTCCTGAAAACTACATATTGACAGGTTCAGATGACTTTCTACTTGCTAGGCAAGTGCATGATCTGTCAAGCGACCCTTTTCAAAGGCTTCATAGTTCTAAATGATACCAATAAAGACATGTGGTTTTTAGGTGAGACAAATATCGTGTGAGGTTTAGTCATTCTGCATTGTGTTGGCATTTGTTATCTCTTTTCCTCTTGTGCTATGATTTGTCAACTGATTTGTTTGGTGCTATATTTCCTTTTTAATATAGAGAAAGGGCTCTTGAGATGTTCATTGTTTTTCCCCACCAGGTTGTCATTGCAACGATTGCTATTTGCATATGTCCTCCATCAAATAATATACTATTGTTTCCTTACTAAAGGAAAACCTCTTTTGTAAAGCCATAAAGCCATGAAGCCCATGAAACCTCTATTAGTGGAGATAACCATATATAGAGAGCCTTATGGTTCGGTGGGCCATATGGGTCTATAGTAGATGGGCCTTCATACACTTAACACCTCTCCTTAAACTCAAGGTGGAACTAGAGGATCTGAAACATTAAGTTTGAGGAAATAAAGCCAATGATGTTCTCTGTCAACTGCAGCTCTGAGAGCACATACTGAAGAGCAATGGCTTTCTAATGACAATAAGACTGAGTGAAGAAGGCATCAACCCCCAATATGCATTGTAACTTCATGCTTTACATGATCATTAGCATTATGTATGGCTCCTATATTATCATAGAGAGTGGTGTGAGGGCATCACAAGAAATACTAGAATCGACCAACAACATCGGAGCCATAGAATATCTGAAGTAGTAGTTCCAAGTGTTCGAAGTTCTACCTCCTGTACTACAACAAGATACACCTGCTTGCTTCTTAGACTTCTATGCAATAGAAGAGACAAGAAAGATGCGATAGCCTGAGATAGAATGACGATCCATTGGGTCACTCGCCCAAGTGGAGTCCGAGTAAAGCATGTACCTCAAGCAGGCTATCACAAGCATTCCCCTCTCACTATAATTCAGATCCTGCTTCGCCGCCGTCGTCACCATATTTGAGTGCAGGTGCACTATTGTGCTCTAAGCTAGTTGGGACGAAGAAGGATGAAGACAAAGAGGTTACCCCCATTAGATCAGGGAGAGAGTGAGACATCGGAAGGCAAGACAAAAAAAAAATAGTTAGATAATTCTCATGTATCATAAGGAAAGCAAGAGCTCTGATTTGAGGCTAATGTTGAAGTTTAGTCTAGGAAAATTAGACATTCAAAAATTAAAATAAACTCTAATTAAAATAAGAGACCTTATTTTGGGCTTCTGTGGAGATTGTTCTTACTCTTGCTTATAATTCAAAAAATAAAATAGTATATTCATGTATAGTGAAACGCCTGTATATTTGTGTGAAAATAAAATGGATAAATGGTAAATGACTTTTAATGTTCTCAACCCTCAAATCTAGGGGCGTGTTCGTCTGATATTAAAAGAGGCTGATAACCGGACTTGACTGATCTGTTGTTAGAAAAAAAAAATACCGTATTCAAGCGAACAGGCTCCGGGGCCCAGCTGCGACGGCGACGGCGACGGCGACGGTGAGGTCGCCGCCAAGCAAATCCAATCCCCACCGTTCCGCTCCATGGGACCCAGCTGCTGCGGCGGCGACGGTGAGGTCGGCACCAAGCGTGCCAAGCTCTCCTCTGACGCCTCCGCTGGCGCCGGTAGCGAGGACCACCTCAGCGCGCTCCACGACGACATCCTGGTACTCATCCTCCGCCACCTCGGCACCCTCGCCGCCGCGCGGACCAGCGTCCTCTCCCGCCGCTGGCGCGGCGTCTGGGCCCTCCTCCCAGAGCTCCACTTCGTCTTCTCCTCAGACCCCAACCAGATCGGCCCCGCCATCCAGGCCCACGAGGCCGCAATCCGGTGCCTCTTCGTCGGGACCCGGGACGCGGGACCCGAATCCGTGGCGGCCTGGCTCCCCATCGCCGCGCGCCGCCTCTACGGCTCCCTCTTCTTTCAGAATCTTAAGCGGGAGGGGAGCGCCCAGGAAGGCGACGACGAGGAGGGGCCCGGGCAGAGGGGCGCCTTTGAGCTCCCCTGCCTGGAGCGCGCCACCAATGTCTCGCTTCACCTAGGATTCCTCGGCCTCGCCGTGCCTCCTGCCGGCGTCTTCGCTCGGCTCACCGAGCTGTGCCTGGATCGCGTTCGGCTCTACGGCCCGGGGGATCTCGGTGACGCGGTTTCCTGGCCGAGATGCCCTTGCCTGCAGAAGCTCACCGTCCGTGACGCTAGGGGGCTGGACAACCTCGCCATCCATTCCGATTCTCTCCGTCAAGTGGAGCTCACTGATCTCCAAGGCTTGCGGCAGCTCAACATTGTGGCGCCGGCTCTTGAGGAGTTGAAAGTTACACACTGTTTCTTCTCCAATCGGAGCCAACCTGTTGCCAGCATCACAGCGCCTCAGCTGGCAACCCTTGCGTGGATGGATCCATATGATCCAAGCTCTGTCCATCTTGGTGAGATGAAACGTCTTCGATTACTGAGGCCTTTCTTCTTTATTGTTTATGGGCCTGACAGCTTTCCATACAACCAATCTTGTTTAAGTCTCTTGCGGCGTTTCAAGGTCATCGAATGTCTTACACTTGCACTGGCCTATCTGTGGGTAAGTCCAGTTCCTCTCTTACACGAATTTTCAGTGCGTACATGTTTTCCTTGCTTGTGCACAGTTTTGAAAGCTAAGGCATCGATGCAATGGACACCAGCACAATATTCTTACATGGACAAAGAAGATAAAATTAAGTAGGCATACTATATTTAAGTCTTTGCTATTAGAACTTGAAAAGAATTTGTAGCTTCACTTCAAGTCAGGCATGCTTGGTTGGATGTTTGTCCAACAAAATTGTGGTGACCTAGTGATATACAACTTGCTTGGGACTATAAAGGATTTATGTTGGTAGAGAACTAGCTATGCAATTTTATTCTTCATGCTCGCAGTTAAGTTATATTAACCACTTCCTGCTTGGTAACAATAATGGTCACCTTATTAGAACTACTTAAGATGAGATGCTGTTATCTCTTTGCAAATGTCATATATGACCCTTTTTTTTTTGGTGACTTCCCATGGACAAGCAGGACATAGATGACTATCACTATATGATGGAAGATATGACAATGCTACCGGACATCACGATTTTGCAGCTGAATGTATTGGCAAATGGACATGCTTTTGGGGCCAGCGCATTTCATGTTCTCAGGATGTGTTCTAGTATCGAAAAGCTGATGCTGTCATTTGTTCCTCCTGCTGAGGTGCAGGTAAGGCTATCATTTGTATTTCTTGGCTCACCATGGCTTTATCTGTTAGTGCCCCTAGTCATTTGTTCTATATTTTGTCCAGAAGTTATGGCTCATATATCTCGTAATGTATGTATTTATGCATACACATAGCTTGTGTGATTATTTCCTAGTATGGCAGATTTTTCTGCATTTGTGCCTATACCTCTTCCCTTTGGGGCTATGCAATATAATTGAGTTGCATTCTGTAACACTAATGCCAGCACTGTGCTCTATAGTTTACAGTTTTGACTGAGTGTTCTACTATTTAAGTTTCAAAATATTTGTTTTTTATTGAATTATTGTCTGTCTGCCGGTGTTTCACAAAAAATCTTCTTGAACATTATTGACATCATAATCATGTTTGCTATACCACTTTCTCTTAGCTAACAACAGTCATATTGCCCGAAATCTGTTGGCTTCAAAGTAATGTCTGGGACGAATTCATTTGCAAATCTTGTGCTTCCTTTGATTGCATAGACCATTTTTCCAATTTCCTGTCTATTTAATCCATCCAACAATATTCTTATATTGACAAAGAAGATAAAATTAAGTACTGAAGGCATACCATATTTAAGCCTGTCATATTCGAATTAGAAAAAACGGTAGCTTCACTTCAAGTATGGCATGCCTGGTTGGCTGTTTGTCCAACACAAAATGTGAGGATATACGACTTGCTTGGGACTAATTTTTGCTGGCTTAGAACTAGCCATGCAATTTTTTTATTCATGCTGGCAGTTAAGTTATAGCAACCACTTCCTGCATGGTAACAGCAATGGCCACCTTGTTAGAACTACTTAAGATGAGATGCTGTTGTGGGTTTCCAATTGTCATATATGACCCTTCTTTTATTTTCTGTGACTTTCCATAGCCACCTAGTATGACAGATTTTTCAGCATCTGTACTTGTACCTATACCTCCCATTCTAGTATGCAATACAATTGAGTTGCGTTTTGTAACACTAACAACACTGTGCTCTATAGTAACTGAATAGCTACATTGGAATTTGATCTTGACAATCAGGATATTAGCGATTATTGGTACATAAAAGAACAGTTGCAATTTTGCAAAGGCCCCAATTTGTAAAAGGTTCCATATTTCCATTGGATAACATAAGCCCTGTGGTCAGTAAAAATCTCGTGAACTTTTTTTGACATCATAATCATGTCTGCAGTTCCATTCTATCTTAGGTCAAAACAGTCATATTGTTGCAATCTGTTGGCTTCAAAGTGATGTCCACGATGAGTCCTTTTTGCAAATATTGTCGTCCTTGATTTGCATATTTGGGTAATCAGACAGTTTTTGGAATTTCCTGTCTGTCTGTTCCACCCTACAATATCAGTTAATCTTACAGTTACAGTTTAATGTGTTTCTTGCTCCAGGCACAAACAACATGCCCACTGGGTTGCATTTGCGGTGAGCACCAAAACTGGGAAACTGAGCACCTGTTGTTGAATCGCCTCAAAGAAGTAAAAGTCACTCGGATGAGAGGATCTGAACATGAAGTTACTTTTGTGAAGCAGCTGTTCAATTGGGCGACATCCTTAGAAAAGATGAGGGTAGTTTTCGACGAGTCCGTTACTGAAAGCGTGGCCAAGGAGTTGTCCCAGGTGCTACAAAGCTTTGCTAGGCCAGAAATACGCATGGAAATCCGCACGTATATGGAGGACATGCTGAAGAAGATGATGTGTGTACCCGAAGACTAAGGCACCGGGGTTGTCGTGTTGTCTATGTAGTTTTCCTGTTTGCCTCTTTGGTATGTACGAACTTCTCATTTGCTGGCATGCTGAGGAGTGGAGGTCAAGACAGTCTTGTTTGGATCATCAATACAATGACTCTGTAATGCACATTTACAAGCCTTTTATGAAGAATGGCCAGGATGATCTTTCTTCTATCACGATAAAGCGCCTAATTAGGCTGTTGCAGTAGCAAATTTTCCCGGCAGTAGAGTTTTACTGTGTAACCTAATTGTGTTTTTTATTTGCGCTGTAACAGATAATTTTTTTTTTCCCACTTCGTTCATTTTTTTTTGAGCAATTTCCCACTTCGTTCATGAGTTAATTTTCTTTTTTGAGAAACACTTCGTTCATGAGTGGTTTTGAATGACAGGGGATTAGCAGATCATCAGGCCTACAAACGGGCTGGGCCAGAAACATGGTCAGATGCCTCAGCGTGGAACAACGGATTGGGCCAGAAGCCTGGGCTTAAAAAAGCAGATGTATAACTGGACGTCCTGCCCGCTGGTGATCATCCCAGTGCACGACGCCTCGAAATCCCGAATCCCCCACCGCCACCGGCCGCCGTACCACGCCGCGCCGCGCCGCCATGGGGGTCCTCACGAGAGCCGAGAAAAGGAGAGCGAGAGAGGTCGACCGGATCAGCGGCCTCCCCGACGACGTCCTCGGCTGCATCGTCTCCCTTCTCCCCACCAAAGACGCGCCCGCACGCAGATCCTCTCCTCCCGGTGGCGCCACCTATGGCGCTCCACTCCTCTCAACCTCGACCTCCACGACGACGACCCTGTTGGTCGCAGCATCCGTGCCAGCGAGGTCTCCCACATCCTCTCTGCGCACCCTGGCCCTGGCCGCCGCTTCCTCATGGCTTCCCGCGGGTGCCCCTACGACGATTATCCCGACAAGACGACCCTGGATGGCTGGCTCCGCTCCCCCGCCCTCGACAACCTCCAGCAGCTCAGGTTCCAGCACTATCCTCGGCTTCTGCTGCCGCCATCAGTACGCCGCTTCTCGTCGACGCTCCGTATGGCTCGCTTATGTGACTGTACTTTCCGAGATGGAAACAATGGCGGCGCGCTGCTCTTGCCAGTTCTCGAGAGCCTGACCCTCTTCGACGTCAGGATCTCGGGGAGCGCTCTGCATGCATTGCTCGCCGGCTGTCCTGTCCTGCAGAGCTTGTTTCTATTTGACAACTATGCATGGCTTCCCTCGGCTGCATATCGTGTCCCCTAGCCTTACAAGCATCTGGGTGGGTTCTTATTGGAGAAGTCTCATGTCACATCATGAGCTCGTCATCGAGGACGCACCGTGTCTAGAAACAATACAGTGTTCAGAAAAATTGCAGATGAACATCTCGGTAATCTCCACGCCGAGGTTGGCGATTTTGGGAACACTCTTTGACGACACACCTAGGCTTCAGTTTGGCACCACAGTTCTTCAGGTCTGAGCACCTTCACCAGCCTTCATGAGGGATCCAATTAAGTCCCTTCCACACTTGATCATGATGTGCCAATTCTATCCTTATTTACTCAGGGATCGGCTGTTGTTAGCATGGCGGCTGTGGTAGACAATGTGAAGGTTCTATCTTTATCTGGTGTGAAACTCTGTTTGCATACGGTTATTAACTTACTCAAGTGTTTTTCCCAATTAGAGAACTTGTACATCAGGGTAATGACTCCCTGCACCATGACCAAAGTGTGTATATTTACTATTTATATCGATGATTGTTTTAAAGCTAGTTGACCATTGACACCATATCTCTGTTCACTTCCCTTTTCAGGCGACAAGTGTTTGTGTGGAAAATGCTTGGTATCATACGAACCCGGAAGGTATTGGCACCCTTAACATCCGTGTGAGGAAAATTGTGCTGGAAAACTATCAAGGAAGCAAATCACATGTTGGCTTTGTCAACTTCTTTTTATCAAATGCCAGAGCGTTGGAGTCACTCGAGTTACGAGTTAGAAACATTATTACCAAAAAGTGGATTGCAGGACAACCTCAGCAGAAAGAGTGCTTCGAGGGGTGCAGGGGTCAATTTTGTACCCTATAAAGATATCATAAAGAGTATTTCAAGGGGTGCATGGGTCATGTGAATATGGGGCTTCATCACATGACCTTCTGTATACTAAGCAAGTACATGATCTGTCAAACGACCATTTTTCAAAGGTTTCAGTAAGTAGGTCGAATGACATCAATAAAGACATTTGGCTTTTATTATGTGGCGTCGTAATATGCAGTGAGGTCTAGTGGCATTTGTTCTCTCTCTTGTTCTCAAATATTGTGATTTGTCAACTATTTGGTGCTATATTTTATTTCCTTTAAAATAGAGAAGAGCTCTTGAGATGCCCATTGTTTTTTTTTCCAACTGGTTCCCATTGCAATGATTGCAATTCGTATATATCTCCATCAAAAATATATTTTTTGTTTCCTCACTAAAGGAAAAACTTCGTAAAGCCATGAGGCCCCTGCCGATATTATGTCAAGGACAGTCTTGTTCCACGCTTAGTACCAAGGTGAGCACCTATGGAACTTGGTGATAATCTATGTGAACATATATATTTGATTTTGTATTAATTTACTGGAAGCAAATCTCGCCTGTTCCTGCATTCTCCTTCAACTCTTCTCCTGCCTACAGCTGTTTTTTATAGGCTTCGTGTTGGTATATAAATACTAGAGTGCTTATAAGAACATCAAGATGCAAATAGATCCTTCAAAAATTTAAAATCCCTTCATTTTTCTAAAAAAATTGACACCAGAAAATTTAAATGTTATTTTCACAAACTGAAAGCGCTTAACATCTTAATGCCTAGATAACATGAAAACATCATAGCAATTCATTCATTTGTTATGTATGCTATATTGCTATGAATGGATGAGATATGGTCCTCCAATTTTTTTTACTTTGATGATTGTTATCAGGGTTTATTGGGCTTGTATGTAAGCAGGAGCAGGTAAAACCTGTTCAACTCGAAATGGAAGTGAAGAATGGATTTGAAATCAGAATACTGCCAACCGCTACATTATTTCTGCCTAGCAAATTCTACTTTGGTTCACCATCTTGAGGCTTGAATTTTGGCTGCATAGGCTGAAACTTGTTTACTTATGATGTCTAGCTTTTTTTACTGACAATCACAATCTCATTAAAACATAAACATCTAAAGAAAAACCATAGCTTGTACATATTTGTGAATCTTTCATCAACAATGCATTGAGGAGAATATCATCGGACACCTTCAACATTCAGCAGCCTGAGGTATTTCTTATCCACAGGCAAACTACAAGGAACTAAAACCACTGACATCATCACCATCAAAGAATAGTGCAGTTCATATGAGTTCTCGCTACAACAAAACACTCCTGTGACCTATCAATCTTGATTTTCAGCTATATATGTAAGTAGTACTTAGTATGGTTTATTCTACTCAGACATATACCGGGCGACGAACGATCTGACGAACCAAAGCCTTGGATAATGCAGTACGCTGCTGAATCTTGTTCTGTCAGTGTGGAAGGCCGGCGGCCTTCCCACAGAGGATGGCGTCGGTCGGGATGGCGTACTCGTTGGAGAAGCTCTGCTCCGGCGTCCACACCCTGAGGTAGAGCTGCTGGCCGAGGTACTGCCGGTCCCAGATCGCCGACCGCAGGTTCCACATCCCCTGGTTGTCCAGCGACACCAGGATCGCTGACCATCCGTTCGGGTACACCTGATGCACTCATCGCAATTGGTTGCCATTGTTCAGTGCTTGTTCGTTCTTGATTGCGGAGGAATCTACTTTGAATCTGGAAGTTGTACATACCTGAACTGTGTGTCTTGCTTGTGCGTCGACCAAGTTGTATGTCTGCCGCTGCGTCTCATTCCACTGGCCATCGCCGTACCTGAGAACAAAATCCGGCGAGAAGTCGGCAATGGTGTTTGGGAGTGAGCTCTGTTCGTCAATGGTGGCAGACAGAAGAGAAGTGAAGAACAGAGAGCAGGGGAGTACGCACCCTACAACCCAGAAGTCATATCCGTCGAGGTGCCACGACTGTAGGTCGTCCTCCGTGTTCTGGAACACGACCTCGACGAACTCGTGCAGTCCGAGCCTAAGCACGGGCGTCCCAGCGCGCGGCGCCGCCCCCGCGCCGGCGGCGTCGGGCCGCGCGGGTAGGGTGTCCCAGTCGATGACGTCGGCGATGTTGTAGTTATCAGCGAGCTTGAGCGGCGTGTCGGGCACGACAAACGAGACGCCGTTCACGGCGCACCGCCTCGGGCCGCCGCCGGCGACGTCGACGGGCGCGGATGAGCTGCTGGCCAGCACCAGCGTCCTGGACGTCGGGATGGCGCCGTAGTGGAACGAGCCCTGCGGGTTGGGGCGCGCCGCGCTGGCCGTCAGGTTCCACCGGAACGAGCGCGCCTGGTTCAGGGACCAGCCGTAGTCGTCGAACGGCCCCGCCGCCGCCGGCGGCGGCGGCAGCGGCCCCGGTGCGCGGGCCGTGGCGCCGGCGTAGTGCAGCGTGGCGACGGCGTTGAGCTCGTTGGTGGCGGTGAAGCGGGTGGAGGCCACGACGGCGTAGTCGAGCGGCGGCTGGTCAAGCGTGACGAGGAAGGCGAGCGACTGGCCGGCGTGCACGTCGAGGGAGTCGTAGACGTTCTGCACCGGGTGGGTGCCCTCCACCTCCACCAGCCGCAGCGCGTGGCCCTGGATCCGGACGTTGACGGAGGCGCGGAGCCCGACGTTGGACACCCGGAACAGGTACGTCCCGCCTCCGTTCCCGACAAACGTGTTCCCGGACGGGGCGCCGTTGATGAGCAGGGCGTCCGGCGGCGGGAGGGCGCCAGTGGCATCCAGCGCGTTCCTGAGGTCAGCGTGGGGTGAGGCGGCGGCGTACCAGTCGCCAACGAGGAGCGTGAAGTCGCCGGCGGGGGGCGGGTAGGGGACGGGGATGGCGGGGCGCTGGTAGACGTTGAGCGCGCCGAACCCGCCGGCGGCGCGGTGGAGGGCGAGCGAGGGGAAGTAGAAGAAGGTGCCGATCTGGTCCTTGGTCTGGAAATGGTAGGTGTAGTTGCCCCCACGCGGCGGGATGGCGCAGTTGGTGCCCGCTACGCCGTCCTGCCACGAGTTCTTCCGCTGCTTGATGCCGTTCCACGTGAGGAGGAACGGCTCGTCGAGGGCGTTGATGACGGTGACGACGAGGTTGTCGTTGGTTACGCAGTCGATGCGTGGGCCTGGGAACTGCCCGTTGATCAGGATGCCCTGTGTGCAGAGTGAGAGTGAGGCAGAGGAAGCCTGAAATTTCTCGACAAAAAAAGAAAGAAAGAAAGAAAGAAAAAAACAGAGCAAATGTACTACTAGAAGAGAATGCAGGCAGCTTGGTATTTGAAAAGAAGATTCGGAAAATGGAAGAAGAAAAGGGAGCATTTTTGAAGCAGCTCGCGGACGAGTGACAGTGAGAGCGAGTGTGGGCATGGCAGATTTGGGGACCGAATTGAAACAAAACAAGAATGTGAGGGCGGACCTGCTGGGTGGTGCCGAGCGGGGTGATGGGGCCGTAGGCGACGGTCCAGGTGAAGTAGCGGTAGGGGTCGTCGGCGCCGGCGAGCGACGCCGCCACAGCGAGCAGCAGGAGGAGGAGGAACGGCGGGGGCGGGGGTGGTGCCATTGTTGGCGCCGCGGCCGCGGCCGGCCCGCAGAAGACTGGATCGTCTAGATCTGGAAGGAGGCAGTGGAGTGGACAGTGGGGGAGAGCAGGGCGAGGTGGCGAGGCCGTGGGGAAGATGATGAGGCAGCAGCCTTTATAGCTGGAGCCTGGAGCAGAGCTGCTTTCGTTTCTTTCGCGGGTGCTGGATTGGACTGTTGCAGTTAAACAAATGCGGAAAGGAAACGCGTATTCAGAGGCGAGCGCGAGGTGGTAAAGCAAAGCGGCGGCGAGGAGAAGAGCAGAGCAGGAGCAAGGCAATGGGCGTTTCCGCGTCCGGGAGGGCAGCGGGAGGAGCGGGACAGGGAGGGACAGCGCCGGACAACCTACCTGTCTCCCTGTCTCAGGAGAGGCCGGGCCCGCCTCAACACGGCCACTTTCTCGCTGGCCCCACCTACAGCCTCAGGTTCCAAATGAAAGTGGGCCCTCTTCTTCTTCTTCTTCTTTTGCACTAAGCTCGTTTTCTGTCTCCCCCTTGGAATCATCGGATATTCGGATGTATTTGAAAGGCGGGAGCGGAGCTTAATCACCTAGTAGGATAAAAACATTCATCGAGACGGATACATGTTGTAGCCAGCACGGAGATCCTCTTTTTATATTATCCTTACTCTCCCTACCCCTATTATTTTATTATAAGATAAACACAAAAGATTATTGCTCAAAGAAGTGGTGTCGTGGAGCACGTCGCACGACTCGCGCTGCGTTGCAGAGAAGGTGACGACAGTTGACAGTAGAAGAGAGGACGGGGAGAAAGTACGGTTCACCCAACACGTGAATCGGCACCGCCCGTACTGCGTACTACACATCCGTATCGACGTAGGCTCCGTTCGCGTGCTTTAAATCCGGTTTGAACCGCTTATTTTTTTTTATTTAGAATAATGTTTTTTTATTTAGAATAATGTTTTTCTCTCATAAATTTCTTCAGCATTACTCTAAACTATTGTACAAGCGAACAGGCCCGTATCTTCCCATCAACTCACACTGTGCACCTCTTTATTTATTATATTACTCTACTATGAATGCTGAAAACATAAGTCAATCTATACCACAAATTATATATGGATTCATTATGGAAAACATATTAATAAAAACTAAGACCATTGTTATTTTATAAATATTTTTTAGTCAAAGTGTTACCGTGTCAATATCCAAATGAGATTAAGGGCCTGTTTGGTTACTACACCTCCTCCTAAAATTTCTGTCACATCGAATGTTTGGATACATGCATAAAGTATTAAATATAGACTAATTACGAAACTAATTGCATAACTTATGACTAATTTGTGAGACGAATCTTTTAAGCCTAATTAGTCCATGATTTAACAACGTGGCGCTACAGTAAACATATGCTAATGACAAATTAATTAGACTTAAAAAATTCATCTTAGAAATTAGCCTCCATCTATGTAATTGGTTTTATAATTAATCTATATTTAATGCTCCTTATTAACATCTAAACATTCGATGTGATATAAATTTTAGAAGCAACTAAAGAACCAAACATCCCCTAAATGGCTCTGTTCGGCTTGCTGAATTTTGGCTGAAACTGGCTTAAAAATACTGTTCTGGCTGAATTGTTGTGAGAGAAAAATACTGATCCGGCTAAAAAAAAACCGAACAAATCAAATATGGGGTAAGCCGAACGGAGCCAAAGTAGTGTAGATGCATATTTTTCTCTCGTGGCTGTGGAAGAATGTTCTAGATACATCATTCCATTCTGGCCCATCGCTTCTCTTATAATCTGTACTTTTCAGCTTGTTTTTTAGCCGAAACAGTATTTTTCTCCCACAACAAATCAGCCGGAATAGTATTTTGGCTTTTTTTTCGACGAAACCAAGAGGCCTCTACAGCTAGCTAGGAGACTCCGAAAGAATGTACGTACGTTAGCTTAGCTCGAAAGACAATCGATTCACGTGTTCACAACCAATAACAACAGTGCAAAAGGCGTAAAGGGCAAAAATAAGGGGGGAGCTTCAGTACTGTTGGACCACGATTCCACGAATGATGAACAATTAACTAAGGAGCTTAGCTTGGAAGACAATCGATTCACGTGTTCACAACCAATAACAACAGAGCGGTGGCACCACACGGGACTCACTCTGATCTACGCTACCGAAATTTACCGAGTGTTTTTATGTTTGCTGGGTGTATTTTCTCAGGCACTCAGCAAACAAGCTCTTTGTCGAGTGTTGAGATAAAAACACTCGGCAAAAAAGGGAGTTTGTCGAGTGTAAAAAAAACACTCGGCAAAGATGAGGTTTGCCGAGTGTCAAAAAAAATACTCGGCAAAGAAATAAAATCATTTTTTGGAAAAGAAGGAGAAGAAAAAATGGGAACTTTGCCGAAAGTGCTCGGATCTAGAACACTCCTAAGAAAGAAATAAAATCTTTTTCTCGGAAAACAAGGAGAAAAAATGAAAAAAAAATTTGCCGAGTGCTCGATCTCGAACACTTTCGGAAAGAAATAAATAATCTTTTTCTCGGACAAGAAGGAGAAAAAAACTTTGCCGAAAGTACCCGATCTAGGGCACTCGACAAACAAAAAATCACGCCAAATACCCTCCCCCTCCCCAAATACCCTCCCGCTTGAACACCCGCCCCTCCCCTCCCGAGCAACCCACCCAGGCGCCCTCCCTCCCAAACCGCCGTCATTGGCCGACCACACCGGCGCCTCCCTCTTCTTCCCGACGCCCTCCCTCTTCCCTTCCCCCTTCTTCTTCCCCCCCGCCCTCCTTCTTCTTCCCTCGCCCTCCTTTCCGGCCAAATGCAGCCTCCTCTCTGGGGTGGCGGCCGGATCAAGGCGTGGCTTGCGTGGTGCATGGCAAATGACGGGCGCGTGAAAGCTCTAGTTTGGTTTTGGTTAATTGATGAAAACCTAAGTGTTAATCTAGTTTATCAAAGTGATTATGAGATAGGTAGCACTACTCCAAGTGATGAAGAAATGGCAAAGATCATGACGATGGTAATGGCATGGTGATGATCAAATGCTTAAACTTAGAAAAGAAGAAAGAGAAAAACAAAAGGCTCAAGGCAAAGGTATAAACTGTAAGAGCCATTTTGTTTTAGTGATCGAGACACTTAGCGAGTGTGATCACATTTAGGATAGATAACCGTACTATTAAGAGGAGTGAAACTCGTATCGAAATGCGGTTGTCAAAGTGCCACTAGATGTTCTAACTCATTGCATATGCATTTAAGATCTAGTGGATCACTAACACCCTTGAAAATGTTTGTGAAAATATGCTAACACATGTGCACAAGGTGATACACTTGGTGGCTAGCATATTTGAGCAAGAGTGAAGGAGATAGAGAAGAAAGGAACTCAGTCTCACTGTTTTCACTGTGACCGGACGCTGGTCTTGGGTGGACCGGCGCGTCCGGTCAGGCGTGGCAGAGAAGACGCCAGCGTCGGTCTCATCGACCGACGCTGGTCGCTAACGCACGGACGCTGGGTCGCTTCAGCGACGAACGTCAAAGGGTCAGGTCCGGGTCAAGTGGTCGGTCTGCACAGTGCTTAGGGTTAAGCACCGGACGCTGGGCTGTGTCCGGTCAAGATGACCGGACGCGTCCGGTCGATAAAAATCAGTTTTGGACCCTTACTGGAAACGACCAGACGTTGAGGGTCTCAGCGTCCGGTCAACTGACCGGAGCGTCCGATCGGTCAAGGCAGATGACCGTTGGAGTCAGACACGTGGCTGACTACGAGCAACCGGACACTGGGGCTCAATATGTTGGTCATTAACCGGACTGGAGCGTCCGGTCAGTCCGCGTTATGCCCAGTGAAGGGGTATAACGGCTATATTTTGTGGGGGCTTCTATTTAAGCCCCATGGCCGGCTATAGCTCATATCTTTGGCCATTTCCATTGACATAGCAACCTTGTGAGCTTAGCCAAAGCCCTCCCACTCATCTCCATCATTGATTCATCATCATAGTGAGATTGGGAGTGAATCCAAGTGCTTTGCTTGAGTGTTTGCATCTAGAGGCACTTGGTATTCGTGTTGCGCTGCGGATTTCGCTTGTTTCTCTTGGTGGTTGCCACCACCTAGACGGCTTGGAGTAGCGGTGGAGGATTGGCACGAGTTGGTGATTGTTCGTGGCCATCTCCGGTGATTGTAAGAAGAGTTGTACCTTCCCCGGTGGAGTGCCGAAAGGTAACTCTAGTAAATTGCTCGTGTCATTGAGTTACCTCACTTGTGGGTCGGTTCTTGCGGTGTCCTATCGTGTGGACGAGGTTTGTGAAATACCTCTTAGCCGCCGAACCACCAAGTGTTGGTCGACACAACGGGGATGTAGCGTGTTGGCAAGCACGTGAACCTCGGGAGAAAATCGAGTGTCTCTTGTCTTTGGCATTCTCCCGGTGATTGGATATATATTCATCTTGTGATTGGTTCATCCCCTACACGGCGGTATATTCACCCTACTCACTTATTTACTTTCTTGCAAACTAGTTGATACAAGCTCTTTAGTGTAATTAGAATTGAGAGCTTGCTTCATTATTTACATTCATCTAGTTAAACTCTTTAGAGTAGCAAGATTGAGAGCTCTTAGTGAGTAGTTACATAGCAAGTTTGTTTACCTAAGTAATCATTGCAACTAAAATTGTATATAGGTGGCTTGCAACCCTTGTAGAGCTAGAGTAAGTTTGCATTACGTTATTTGTCATACTAATCAAATTGCTCTAGTTGATTTGTAGTTTTTAAATAGGCTATTCATCCTCCTCTAGCCATATTAGGACCTTTCAAGTGGTATCAAAGCCGTGGTCACCGTGTGATTAAAGGCTTAACAACCTCGGTGTCAAATTATGGCTCAAGTTGTGTTCAACCATGTGGGGGGCAAACCACCTTTCTTTGATGGCACAAGCTATGGTTATTGGAAGAGAAAGATAAGGGTGTATCTTGGTTCCATCAATGATCAAGTATGGGATGTAACCGAGAATGATTATGCTATCATTGATCCCGACAAT